TGAATTTTAATTTCAACCTTCCATGTCCAGTTCTAGAACCGTCGCGGTCTGAAACTTGACCAGCCTTGTAGACCGGTCCATTTTGGAGTCACCGCAACAAAATTTTGGCTATGTTTAGACGGACAAGGAGCAGACCACCAGTTCGTATATATTCGGCACATAAGTACCTAACCGGAGGTTGATTTGGTAGCCGACTTTTCGCATGTGAACAAACGCTTAGATTTTTAAAGGAAAAAAGTATAAAAGAGAAATGACCCGGTCCGGCTCATGATATCATAGCCGGTGCTAATTAATTAGAAATATTGGAAACCTAAATTTGTTTCTAGTACTCAGGTACATGTAGGCCTTCGAGTAAGAGATTTACCAAATGATTCCAGTGTCGAGATGGGGTATGAATCACAAAGGGACAAAGGGTTGATCACAGCTTTCTTGGATCAGATATCTTTTTTGCACGCTGAGTGCATAGTACGAGAAGCCGAATCAAAGTCGCTATCACCGAGCGGCCACGAAACAAAACAAACCCTCTGGCACCCAGGTTACCTTTCTTGCTATTTGGTTGTGAATTTGACCTGGATCTCATAGTTTTAGACATACTTGCAATATTCGGATGGGATTTAGACGGTCTTTCTAGTGATTTTGCTTGAGCACAATCAAGAAACCAATTTATGAACAATCACTGCGAGTACTAATGTTTGCTGATTCCTTGACTTGCAGTTATCGATCATTTTGATGGTGGTTTTCCTTCTTCGCCTGATGTCATTCCAAGGCTCTCGCAGTTGTCCAGCAAGGCGGAGACAAAGATTCACTGATTCCCAATTGCTGCAGAAGATTCGCCAGCGTTATATTTTCGTGGAAAACAAGCTCGTCATGCATAGTTCCAACCACACCCAAATCAATGGGGGTATCAACTTCGTTACTGGAGCAAGGGAAGGTACACAAAAGTGTCCGTGGACGTGGGCCATAGACGAAGATCACCACAGAATTCCCAGATACCTAGCCAAGGCTGTATGTCCTCAATGTAATCATTACTGCCGGGCCGTGTTTTACACACACAACTCGCTTGTTCAACGATGCGATCGAAAAACAGGAACTCTCTACTGGACTAGGATGGAAAGGACACTGCAAATAGCTTATGTGTATGACCATTAAGAATCGACTTATTTCCAAATACGTATTCTTTTGACAGTGTTGTTATTATTTTCCAGTGGAACTGAATTACAACCTTTTTCAGGGGACTCACGGGGTGTGAAAAAATAATGTTATTACTATATTTGTGGCCAGTTTCATCGATAATAAATTGGCCACAACAAAGAAAGTGACAATTAATCTATTTCAGTTGCTACGAGCAACTCGATAGCGCAGGCCCGCACTCGCCCAAAAATGTGTTTTTGTTGAACAGCGATTTGTAATGCCTGTCTAATCGACAAATTCCGTTTACTACATTTTTGCTTAAAATGCGCAATGTATTCAACTGGTTTGTCTGCTTAAGTGTTTCCCATGTGCTCAATACGGTCAGCGTGCTTCGCTTTGAAATTCATAATACGGTGTTATCAGCCGCCGATGCTGTTCCAGCCATCACCACAGCACCAAACGATTGGTTTGAAATCACAGACGAGGCTTTTAAAGGTAAAATACAATAAACACTGATTATCGGCCTCCATCAGTCGATGTCGACCATGGGCTGTGCACCTCAAGGTGCATAACCTCAGCCTTAGCCCAGATTTGCGCTTCCGTTTTCTTGCTGACCTGTATTTTATCTCTATTTAATGCTGATGTTAACTGGCTGCCTGGCCCCGCTAACACCCATGGTTATTCCAGGCGGCTAGTACTCTAATTTTTACTTTTAATAATGTTTTCATTGTTGTAATATTTTATTTTTGAGCAAAAGTGAGTACAAATAAAGATTGATTGATTAGCCCCAGCTCCTTGCGTTTTGGCTTGTTCATATCCCACGCACCGAGTTCATATTTCGCTAAGCTTGCGATATCGACGAAGTCAAGACAAAATGAAGGATTTGCAGGTAGACCACGAAAAGGAAGGTCTCTATGTTTGGTAAGTGGGTTTGGTTCTTCTGAACCTTGCTCAACTCTATTATGGTGTGAAATCTCAATTTCATTTAACTCAGTCCAGTCTGCGGTTTTAACTGAGTAGATTAAATATTTATTTTCTGTTTTTCCAAATTTTAATCAATGGTCTGCAAGTGCAATCTTTCCATGACACTAAATGTATCTTTTTAGAAGCAATCGTCCGTCATTTCCCTAGACGTCCTTCTAGAGATCATTCATGGTCCCGGGCTCCCACGAAAAATTTTTAAATATCTTTAGAAACTCGGTAATCATGGTCAGTCCGTCAGGATGCTTATCTTTTGCCACCTGTTGGTTTGACAATGAATTTTCGGAAGTTTGTTATCAAATAATTAAGGCCGTAAAATGATAATAGCTAAGCCGAGTTTAAAGTCAATCAATGTTTTCACGACGCAAGGACACTTCATTGTTTGAGAGTTGTTATTCAAAGTCTATCAAGACACTACAAATTAATCCAAGTAGTCTTTCTCAGTGAAGTGTTTTCTTGACGGTTTCCTGCACTATTAAGGTGAAGACATAAAATACTAGCTTATATATCAGGCAGTGAGACAATGTTTATGGCTAAATTCTCTTCCTACGGGTATTTTTTGACAAATAATCAGTATAATGTATATTTGCTAGCAGTGTTAATTTTCTCCCTTCAAAAAACAAAACAAAACAAAAGCGAAAAAAATAACTGAGGTAAGTGCCTCGGTTTGCCTGTTGAAAGCTACGGCCCTGTACATGAATGCAATTTCTGACACTCGGATGAAACTGCTTAGTCGTTGCTATTTGTAATACATATTCCATACTACATAGACTAAACTTGCGAGTTTAACCAATTTTATAAACGTTATGAACATAATATACAATACAATACAATATATGATTTGCATGGACGGTTAAGGCTGTTTCACTAAGCATAAGCAACATATTCTGCTTCTGGATATACTGCATGTGTTATGCATGTGTCACTTTGGCTATTCAGTAAAAAAACCATCCTTAATTTGTTGGATGTACTTGTCATCATGGCCAAAGGCATTATCTGGTGAATTCATATGCAAAGGATCTTATGAAATAAACTGTAGACTCTACAGAGACAAAATCACTTCCTTGTTGCCACAGAGCCGTGGAAAACTCTCGCAACAGTTTAAGAGAGTTCGAAAACATACATGAGGCTCGTGTTTTTGCAGCCTTCCTTGTTCCTTTGAGTGCCCATTTACTCCTGTTGAGTTGAACAACATAAGCAAATTGAAGAAAAATGAAACGAGGTAGCCTGAAGACTCTCGATTTCAACAACAATAAGCAGCTAAACAGAAAAACAACATCAGCAAATGAAATGAAACAAAAAAGCCTGAAGACTCTCGATATTAACAACAATGGTCAACATTAAGTGGCTAGACATAAAATGACGCACAGACGACGCATAACTTATCAGTACATGCATAATGAAGTTGTTTAGTTTTGCCATGTCATGCTTTTGTTTCAATTTCCGCTTACTAATTATTACTCTTGATGTATTCGACCACACAGCAGTTCAGTCTTATGTTGAGCTTCTAGGAAACAAAGATACACGTCGTGAGTCTTATCAAATGTACGATGCTGCACATGTTGAATGAATTGATCAGCTGAATAGCCTACAGAGGGCGCGTGTCGAATTTACTTAGCAATAAGAATCGTTAAATTGTCTTCTTGAAATTGGCGTTTTTATAACATGTAGGAGCGAGAACAATTTAACCACTAGCGATCTACAGATGAACAATATCAATAGAGCATTTTACCGCAGAAACTAGATATCACTGATAATTGACAAACATGGCCTAGATCTGATATGGTTATACTACAGTTTTGCTGGACTTCGTTATGAACCTTTGTAAATCTAATGACAATTAACATAAAATTATGGAACCTGCTCTAATATGTGTTTGACTTCATGCCCTGCGGTATCAAAAAACCACACAAATCGGACAGTGGAATATTAAATTTTATTGATTGACAAACAGCTTGTCATCATTCGAAAAAATAACTTCCACTTAACCAGTCAGTGGTTCAGCACTTAACCACCACGTTTGCATTAAAATTTGCAGCGATATTTTATACTTTTTTATGTTTACTGATGAAACAAACCTGTTTCACCACTCGCCTCTGTTACACATTTTGCATCTAGTAAATGGGGAATGAAATGAAATGATTCCTTACAGAAATAAATTTTAACTCTGGTCAATTGAACTTGGAGGGAATGCTATGCGTGAACTGCCTCACAGACGGCGCACCAAACACGTGGATACTTATTCTTTTTTCGGCCTGTTTGTTTCACAACTTCCTCCGGAAGTTGAAAATTGAGGACACTTAATCGTGATGGAGCAACAAAAGAAGAAGAGAGGAAGAGGAAGTTTATACCGGGAACTGAACTGCAAAGATTTGGCTTCAAAAACAAAAGAATGCTTTGCACCGACGCCGAATGAGAACGGCAAACGGTGCATATAGGATACTTAAAGCGATATTTCTAAACATGGCATTCGAAATTGTACCTTTAAGCTCGTGAACGGTCAGACGGTCACATTTTAGTAAGAATAATGTAGGACATTTTTTTCAATTATTATACACTGTAGAAACGATAACTTTCTCAAAAGTGATATTCTTTGAAAACATGTTTGCCAGCCACTTCACTTAATTATGTGTCGCCTTCATTAAAGTTGCGGAATAATTAAACTTGCACGGATGGATGAGGATTACGTAATTATCCGGTCAGTGTACTAAATACCGCATTCTTTTGAACACAGAGGATATTTATAGTGTGACTGAGCAAATGAGGAAAACTAAATAAGATCTGCCCAGTAGCCGTAAAAACAAATAACAGACCTATTGATAGAATTACTACAGTGTTGCTGGGTAGCACTCCTTTATCGTTTAAGGTTATCTTAAATTTGAGATCTGTCAATTTAAAAGTTTTAAGTAAATCATTGAAAGCGGAACACAAACGAAACGCACGTGGCATTCACTGTGCAAGGCGTGGTGACATCCGCAAAGAGCGTGGAAAATTTATCCTCTTTTTATTCACAGAAATAGATCGACATGTCACTAAATTGGAACTCGTTTTATAACCCTATATATTCAATATTGGGAGGATTTTTTCCTTAAGCTGAAAACAACAAAAAAATGTGGGTGGAATATTAACTGCATTTGTGATACTTTTGGAGCTACGAAACGTATATAAATCGTTGCACAAGTCACTACCACTACAGGCGCTTGTTAAGGCAGTGCACAACCACAGAGAAAACAAGAATATACGAATTCGAGAAACGAAATTCGCGGTATCGACAAAATAACTCAGAAGAAGGAAGGAAGAACAAACTCAAGTAGTCTGGAGAGATGGCAAAGGTAAGGAGACCTAGCGCTGCACTGTGATGCTGTATAAGGGATAACATTTTGGCCAATAATGTGTGATTGTCCTTTTTGCAAAGACGTTATGCAGTTGAACATGGTAATTGGCTGATTGAGCTCCGCTTCTTTTCCACTTAATTAGGAATACGCTTAAACTTATTAAACTCGAATTCTAGTTCTTCGGTTTCGCGGGAAACATTTAAATCCCGTAAGGATAAAACACGAAAAGTAACGAAAACAGAATTTGAAACATTCGCGCCGTGTGAAAAACAGTAAGCAGCATTTTTTAGTGGGCAGCATTTCTTATTCAACTTTTATGCGGCCAAACATTGCATAAATTTTACCCAGGAGATACTGTAAACCCGCTATATACCGTACGGCCAACTGATTAAGATAACAGATTTCGCTCTGGATCTGAAATTGTTTCCGAATTAAACAGTTTGCTTGAATTGGTAAATATTCGTATGATATCTACAGCTGGATGCAAGTAATTTGAGCTCTATGAACTGAAGCCTTTAGTCAGAACTGTTGCGGGACACATGCAAGTAACAATTATAACGATTGTGCACTGTTTGTTAACTTTCAGTTATTGGTTATTTTGATGATGGTTTTCCTTATTGGCCTGATGTCTCTCCCAAGCTCAAGCAGTTGCTCATCGAGGCGGAAAAAGCAATTCACTGATTCTCAATTGCTGCAGCGGATTCGTCAGCGCTTCATCTTCATGGAAAACAAGTTCGTCGCGCACAGTTCCAACCACACCCAAATCAATGGGGGTATCAACTTCGTTACTGGAGCAAGGGAAGGTACACAAAAGTGTCCGTGGACGTGGGCCATAGACGAAGATCACCACAGAATTCCCAGATACCTAGCCAAGGCTGTATGTCCGCAGTGTAATCATTACTGCCGGGCCGTGTTCTACACACACAACTCGCTTGTTCAACGATGCGATCGAAAAACAGGAACTCTCTACTGGACCAGGATGGAAAGGACACTGCAAATAGCTTATGTCTATGACTACTAAGAAACCCATCGCTTTCAGCTTTGAGTCCAAAAAGACTCAATTTGATACATGTGGGTAATTATAATGGCACTCCTGTAGAAAATACGACATTTCACAAGCCGTTTTGTTCTTAGAGGGGAGGTGTTTATAAAGTTAAAAGGACAGGGCGTTTTGAAAAAATCCTAGAAAGTACTAAATACCATTTCTGAGCTTCTGATTGGAGAAAAAAGAAGTTCATTTTTACCCCTAGGCCGGGAAACCATGTATACTATTAGCTTTTATTTTTAAGTGCCGGCAAAACGGCAAGCAGCAGCCAGGTTCAAATTATTGTATTGATTTTTATTTTTACGGATGTATTGTATTTTACAATGCTGCTATTGTATTATGCATGGCGTTATATTATGTTGTATTACTTACAAGACTTGCACCACTTACAATGCTGCAGTTACTTATAATACAATATGGACACTTCTAACAAGCTACTGCTACTTAACACAAGTCAACACTACTTACACTTGTACTGGTATCAGTAAACAATAGCCTCCATTTGGCGTGAAAATATGCGCGGATATTTGTCTGCGGACATTATCTGTTGCAAGAAGCGAACAGTTTTCCGAGAGCGTAGCTCGAGGAAAACTGTGAGCTTCGGTCACAGATTAGATTTTCCCAATGCTCTAACTTCTAAAAAGGCTCAAAATCATGAGATGAGTGTATCTTTTTCAATAAACTCGATCGTAGCCTTGTGTCAGGCACTTCCATAACCCTGGAATTCAAAATGCTCTGGTTTCCAAACGAAGCATGCTATTGAGCTGTAAGGTAGGTAGGTAGGTAGGTAAGACTTTATTTTACGAGGGTAACATTTGACAGTATTAAAACTGATAACCTAATGTAAATGTAAGATTGTAAACAGATATGAATATACCGCATCTTATGATGAGGATAAAAACTTTGGTGGCTCTTTAGTTTTGGATTTTAGAAAATGATGACGTCACGTGAAAACGATCTCTTTAATATTCAGTTAGACAGTCATTGTTAATCCTTCTTCCCTGTTTCTTAGTCATATAACATCAACTTATATAATAGAATAATAGAATTGCCTACTTGACAAATAAATTCCATGTTGCCATGTGTCTCTTCAGTAATAGATCACAGAAGACTTATAAAATGATTGCATCCCGGAAGCTAAAAGAAGCAACAGAATGTCACAACTGACTAAACTAATGGAAAAGGCTTACAAGTAAAGGTACAACAAAAGTTATTGAATGAAGAAGAAAATAAGCAAACCATTCACGGCAAGATCCGACAACGGACACAATATCGTTCAACTATTGAAAATGGATTTTCGCTTGAAATTAAACTTACAGAAACTCTAGCAGAGTTTGTTACCTTAATTTTGGTACTTGTTCTATTATACTTCAGTCAGAGCTTAATTGATTCCAAGGGCGTCCACAGACAACTACACGCTAAATTGTGGTCAACTTAACGCTAAGTTTTTTTGTTGACTACAACTAAGCAGTCTCCCTTTTCGAAAAGGGAAACTACTTAAGAGTGCCTGCCTGCAAAAATCAGACAAATTCTTAATTTCGCGGCAAGGGTCGAAAGTTCGATTTCGCTCATATTCTTATGGTAGATAGGCTAGGGCATGACAAAAACTACTGGATAGT